GCTTTTTTTTCTCCATACCCTTCTCTTCTTTTCTCTCTCTCTCTCTCTCTCTCTCTCTCTCTCTCTCTCTGTGTGTGTGTGTGTGTGTGTACATATACACATACACATATATGGATCTTTGGTTATTCGGGTTTTCTCCCGCGTAAGATTGGAAGTATCTAGGCAACGTTTCGATGAAGTCTCATTCATCATCTTTAGGCTTGTGTCTTCAGCTCTGTGCTTCTCAGAGTAATGTGAGCTTGCAGCTGCTTCTTCCTTTTAACTGCTAGTGGGGGTGTGACTTGATTGGGCGGGGGCTTGGCTGTGTTCTGATTGGGTGGGGGTGTGTTCTCATTGGTTGGGGGTTTGGCTGTGTTCTGATTGGTTGGGGGATTGGCCGTGTTCTGATTGGCTGGAGGTGTGTTCTGTTCAGGTGGGGGCTTGGTTGTGCTCAGGTTAGTCTTAGTTGCTGTGGGATTTGAGAAGCACAGAGCCGGAGACAGAAGCCTGAAGATGATGAATGAGACTTCATCGAAACGTTGCCTAGATACTTCCAGTCTTACGTGGGAGAAAACCCAAATAACCAAAGATCCACATACAAATACCTGCGAGAACCTCAGAAAACATACACATATATATCTATTCATTCTTCTTGAAAATCTGATGGGATCTGACCTTTGAAGTAATTAAAGGATCTTCAGCTATAAACAATCCATATTCCAGTGATTAGTTCCCATTAATTATCCATGCTGAGCTGTAAAGACATAACTCTGCCTTACAAAGGAAGAGGAGGAGCAGGATCACGTGGTTGTATGTTTGCCAACATAAAATGTCATTTGGGGGGCTTATTTGAAGTATTAGCAGGTTCCTGAGGGGCAAGGCTATAGGCAAAGGGATTTCTGGATGATCATCGTAATCTTTTAATGACCCTATAATCCCTTGCCGGGTGGAGTCTAGGCAAGTGAATGGAGCTGAGTGTTTGCTGGCCAGATGTCCTTCCTGTCGCCAATGCAGAGTTTTATTCAGCAGATGCATTCTCAGTGTGCCCAGAGAGAAATACCGGTCTCTACCTAGGATCGAACTCACAGCTTCCTGACTGTGAGTTGAGAGCTCCACCTCTAGGCCACTGCACCACTTAAAAAAGGATTTCTGGACGATGCCGCCTCTAAAAATTTTCCAAATTCTGCACCCAACAAAAATCTTTATTAGTCAAGAGGATCCGGTTGCCTCTAGTAAGATTATTACATTCATGTTGAGAGCACCCAAGTGCTTCCAGGTTGAAAGGATCGAACAGTGACATCCCCATGGCTCTGAGGATGCCCAGTTGGGGGCTCCTTTCATGTCCCCATTAAGTTGCCCACCCAAGTGGCATCCATTTATCTGTTCATGGTGGCTTTAGAACTGCTAGGACATCAGGAGCTGGACGGGAGCTTGCCCCATCCCACTGCAACAACAGGGTCTCGAATGTGAACTTGTCAATCATCAACCCAGCGTCTTAATCTTACGAGCCACTGCACTTCTTGCCTCTCTCAAGATGGCCTCCAGGAACTTATTCAAGAGGCCTTCAAGAAAAACCAGGCCCGGTACTTGGCGGAAGAACTGAACTCCAGATAGATGGACAAACAGGATGCTAGTCCTCTACTTATCTCTATTCATTTAGTGACTGTTACAGCGGCACTGAAAAGGGTGACTTACAACCGGTTTTCACACTTAACGAACATCATAGCATACCTCGGAGTCATGCGATAATCCTTTGTAACCTTCCCAGTCGTTTTCCAGCCAGCAAACCCAATGGGGGAAGGCAGATTTAGTGAACCATTCATTGCATGATTCATTTAACAACTGCAGTGTTTTACTAAAAGTGCTGTGGCAAAAAAAAAAAAAACCAGTCGTGAAAACGTGGTTGCTTAGCAATGGAGATTTGGGGCTGAGTTGTGGTTGTAAACGGGCACCTGCTGTGCTTGCAAATGTGGTTATAAAAGGAAGGCGTTTCATTTATTGAAATAAAGTGAAAGGGAGAAGAGAGAGGAAGAGGTTGCTAAGAAGAACATCACCAATTTACTCTTTCTAGCCTTCAGTGCTTTGATCTGCCAGTCCTTGAAATTCCGAGGCAGCTTTTAAAATAATTTTCATTTCGCACACTGACAACGTTGTAAATGAGAATTATCTAGAGCTGAACTTCTTCACAAGGACCCTGCTCTTTTGCTAAAAGAATAAAGTGGGAGAATAGTTGGAGATAAAGGAGAATATTTGTGGCTCAGGGTTGAAATGAGGGAGTCCTTGGTGCTCTCTGAGCCTGGTAGTTTTCTTGCAGATGCTTCATTACCAAACTAGGTAACATCATCAGGGCTGGCAAGGAATGGGGTTTGCTCTCAATTGATATTCTAGTGGCTTGCCCTGTCAAGGGTTGGTGGGAATGACCTTGAATGGTTGTTTACTTTAGCTTGTTTGGCAGTTCTTTGGATAGGATATTGCTTACTTCTTTTTTAGTTTTTTATTTGTACATTTTTCTTTAACGTATATGAGCGCTTAATAAGCAGTGTATTGTCTGAGTCAATTTACAAATATATGGTAATAACAATAATAGAATTCTTTACTTACATATAATGATATTCTTCCAATTTCCAATTTCTAATTTTATTATCTAACCGTTGGTAAAAGAAATCCCACATTAAGAATTATTCTGTGTCTTCTTTGTCCTTTATCTTTAATGTTAGCCTAACCATTTCCGCAGAGTCTACTATTTTTCTAATGATATTTTCCTCTGCAGGAGTTTCCTCATTTTTCCAATGTTGTGCAAATACAATTCTTGCTGCTGCGGATATTGTTTACTTCTTGATTGTTGGACTGATGTTAATCTTGGTGTTAACCACCAACTATCAAGCAAGCCAACCGCAAACAGGCCAATCAAAGAACTTCCAAAACTGCTCCCACCAACCCAGGCAGGGCAAGCCACTAGAATATAAATTGAGAGCAAACTCCATTCTTTACTAACCCAGATGATGTTAACTAGATTGGTAATGAAATGTCTGCAAGAAAACAACCATGTTCAGAGGCCCTTGAATTGGTGAGGAGTATTTTTTTCCAGCATTTGATTTTATCGGGTTTAGAAATGGAAGATGGGTTCTATTTGATTTTCTTTTGACTATGTTCAGTAACATTTGAAAACTTCAACAGATATGATTTTGTGCTCCCTTTCTCGTTTTCTCAAATTTTTAAAGCCAGGGGCTCTTCTGTTCCCAAGATCTGTTCCCAAAACAGCAGATCCTAGAATAATCCACTTCTTCTTTCCAGCCGGTGCGCAAGAGGAAGGACTCCAAATGACAGCTGCTAAACAATTAGTGTGCAACATTGCAATGGTTCAGATCATTTTTTTCCCCCCTTAAATCTCAGAAACCTCATGGACTGAAAGCTGACATGGTTAAATAAAGAACCTCTGTATCAGTTGCTTCACTGATTGATGAAGATCTGGGAGACAAATAGCTTTGTGCAACCCGAAGTCTAAGCAAGAGACAGGATGGGAAAACGCTAGAAATGAGCCTACTAGCCCTGTCACAACCTGTGATCGGTCACAACCTGAAATCACGCTTACAGGTGTACACAAGCGGCAGAATTTGTGTTGTGATGGGGCTAGGCTTATTTCATCGTTTTGACAAAACTGTCAGGTTTTGCGCCTTACTCTGCTTTGCAACCGCCATTATTAGTGAGAAGGGGCACTTAGCTTGCCAGTTGACAGAAAAGAGGCTAAAGAAATGGAAAGGAGTTCATTTGCTAACGTGTATTTTTATGCCACATCGATTTAGACAAATCTAAATGGCTTCCAGGCACAATCAAACACATAACAACATACTGACAAAATATGTAGCGATGTAATCTATAAAGTTGTAAACATTCCAGTTAATTTCATCAAATCACAATACATACAGGAATAGCACCGTAGGTCTTCCTACATATCTAATTATGGCATCTCTAATTCCCCAGCCCTTGGATGAGTAACCAAGTTTTCAACAACTTTCTAAATATTAATTGTGCGGATGCAAAATCTACTTTATGTCACAGAGAGATTAGCCAAGCCAGAGGGAAGAGTCAAATGGGGAATTTGTCTGGAATCTCTTGTTGTGCTTTCCATGCTTGGTCCTCTGTTGTATTTGGGTGGTGGGTGGGAATGGTTTTCTTCCATCAGTTTCTGTTCTGTTCATTCTCTGCTAGCAATGCCAGGGAATAGCTCCCTTTGGGAGGTGAACAAAAGGGTATCCCCATCACTTACACCACAGTGACTGTCGGGTTTCTGGTTAACTTAATTCCGGAGTCGTAGCACTTTGCTGAAACAGTAGGGGTCCTCCTCAGATATGATAGAAGCTCACCTTCCTCTTCTGCTCTTCCCTTCTCGACTTCAACTGTAAAACTATAAAATTACTTCTCCGCTCTTAATGGAGGCTTATTAGAATTCCACCATTCCTATCCTCCTGTAGTGATGCTCCTAAATCATGTTATTTCCACCACCACCACCTCCTTCTCTTCCTCTTTCTTTTCTTCTTCCTCCTCCTCTTCCATTTCCTCCTCCTCCTCATGTTCACTCTTCCCCTTTTCTTCCTTCTACTCTCCTCTTTTCTTCAGTTTTTCTTCCTCATAATCTCTCATCCTCTTCTTATGTTCATCGTAGTCTCATCCTCTTCCCCTTCTCTTTTTTCTCTTTCGCCTTCTCTTCTACCTGTTTTCTTCAGTTCCTCTTCCTCGTAATCTCTCCTCCTCCTTCCTGTTCATTATCCTACTCTTCCTTGTCTCCTCTCTTCTTCAGTTTTTCTTCCTCACAGTCTCTCCTCCTCTTCTTATGTTCATTGTAGTCTCACTCTCTTCCCTTTCTCCTTCTTTTCCTCTTTTCTTAATTTCCTCGTAATCTCTCCACCTCCATCTCCTCCCTCCTTCTTTCCACCTCCTCCCTGACCTCTTTCATTCTTTCTGCATCTGAGAAAACCCAGCAATTTCTGAAACCTTTTTTGTTTTTCAATTTCTCTCCGTAGGTTGTTGTTTCATAACATTTTATACCAGAAAAGCGGCACTAGAAGCTCAGAATGCGCTGCACAATATTAAAACTTTACCTGGGGTGAGTATATACACTTATTTTATTTCATGAGGGGGATAGAGGGAAGGAGGGGAGCCGGGGGGTGGGGTCGAGGAGAGGAGAGGAAAGGAATGGTTGCTTTTTGCATGAAAATGCTGCTTCTTAGCTCGAAGTGCCCCAGATGGCTTCTGTCTCTGAGCAGAGGTTAATGACCTTGTGGCTAAGGTAGGTGATCTTTCCCATCTGGCACCTAATGGTGATCTTTGAGCCTGCATTTCCAGATGTAAGCCAGAGCAATAGATCATTATAAGTCGGTTGTGGTTTTAAGTGCCTTCCCAATTCCTAACAAATTGAGAGTCACAGTCCTCCACGGTTCCGTAAATCATTATCTGTACTAGACTGGCCTGCGTAGCACCAGGGCAAGGGATGCAGGGAACTGTAGTTGAACAACTGTTGGAGACCTACAAGGTCCGTTCCAGAGAAACATATCAGGATTTTTTTTTGGGGGGGGGTGCTGATTTTATTGTGATGGAACATTAATTCTTCTTGGAGGTTTGATTCCTAAAAGGGGTCAGGAAAAGGATCTTTTCTTGACAAGCTACTTTAGGGTTGGCACACAACCCTAGAATGCATTGGGTAAGTGTACAGCTGATTGCGTAGTGGTTATTTTTGTCTTAGCAAGGTCAGGGATGTGAAACTCGATTACATTGAGGGCCGCATCAGGGTTATGTTTCACCTTGGAGGGTGGGGGTGTGGCCAGGAGTGGGCGTGGTCATGGTGGACATGGCTGGGGTGGGCATGGGCATGGTCGACGTTGGACACAGGCTCAAGATGCACTTTTCCCTTTCTGTCTTTCCAAAGTACTCCCCAGCCTCCGGAAGCACTTTGCCGGCCAAAAACAGCCCACTCAGAGGCCCCACGAGGCCCACGCGTGGCCCATATTAGGTCTCCTTGGCCTCCGGAAGCACTCTGCCGGCCAAAAATGGCCCACTCAGAGGCCCCATGAGGCCCACGCGTGGCCCATATTAGGTCTCCCTGGCCTACAGAAGCACTCTGCCGGCCAAAAACGGCCCACTCAGAGGCCCCATGAGGCCCACGCGTGGCCCGTTTTCAGTCTCCCCGGCCTCCGGAAGCACTCTGCCGGCCAAAAACGGCCCACTCAGAGGCCC